TAAGAGCCGTTATGCGTAGCACCTTTCAAGTCCCAATGGGGTAATTTATATCCAAGTTGGCTCATTAATTAATTGGCGTCTTTTTACGACAACCATAAACTTGTTGGTTCAGCTTCATTATCTGCTAGTCCTATTCCTGTTACGCTGAAGGTACTGACTGATAACACTGAAGATGTATTTGTCCTCATTGCAGATCTTTTGTTGTTGCTTTGTCGTCTGACCTATGAGTCAATAGCCAATCGATTGGTTGATAGTTAAATAATTCCACATTCCACATGGGAGACCCAAACTTCGGCATGAATAGATCAACTCGACCGGTACGATACTATCGCCTCACCGAAAACTGGCGTGAAAGACCGCTTACTTACATTATGTTTCATGATGTGAGTGTAAACAGTGGTCCAATCTATTCGTCCAAAAGGCCGACATCGCACTCGTAACTCCTCTGGTGTCATGTCCCTGGGTGGCACCGTTAGCTTACCATCAGGTACCTAATCTATCTGCTCGTCTGTACCCCTCAATTCCATGAAAAAATGTTTAAATATCTACGAACTAACTTCATCAAGATTACTTCATTTAAAAGCACTTGGTCTGTACAGCTGCACCCGAGCAACTATTACCATCTTTTATATCTACTTGTACGTAGAATATTCCCATCTTGTTAGGCAATATTTTCCCCTCAACAAAACAAATAGGAATGTATTCCGTTTTACGCATATTTAATTACAAGTTACTGTTCGCAATTAAACAGTTCCTAGGCCAATTCAGTTTACGATCGAGCCTCCGTTCGAGGCTTTTCGCCGCCGCAATCAGTTTTACGATGCTTTTTGTCAGAAATTTGCCATTTTATTACCGACTCGAATAAGTTTGTTCGTGTCGTTGCCAACAAATGGTTCAGCGGCGTATTGATGTCGATTTGTCTAAGAAAATAATATGTAAATTGTTTAGTTGTGTAAATTAATTTTACCCACATTACACTTGGTTAAAGACCCCGCATTTTGACTTGATAAGTCCGGAAAAGAACCATACAATGCGAGACCGCTACATAACATTATTTTTTAGTATTGATAATTTCAGCTCCATCACATTGATTTAGTATTATCCATCAAAAATCAGCTCCTTGAAACCTTACCAAAGCAAGCTCTATAAATCTTCACAATTCAACATTTGCAACCCTTACAACCAGAGATCACGTGCGATCTCCGACTGCGTTCCTGTCGCACCCTCAGCAGCAGTTTGTTTCCACTTTTAATGGCGGGAAACGCGCTTCGAATGTAAATCTTCTCAACACACCTGACTATTTACGCCGTCTACTCGTAATTTTATAACTTTCCAAAACTTTCCACGATAAAATTATAGCACGTTTTGAAAATAATTCCTTTCCAAAATGGCCGAATTTGAATATGAAATGAAACGAAAGACAAAGTTGTTGTAATTAGATTTATTTTGTAACATTATAATTGTTGTAAACGTAAATACTAGACGTTCTAAAGTAATATTTTGTAACAAAATATTTGTTGATATATTATCTGAATTAATTTCAGGTACATTTTATATTAGGGCCTTAACGTTATTTGTTTAAAATATAAGTACATTTTATAATAGCCATTTACATATAACAATGTTACAGATAACTTAAATTGAATACACATTAAACTTATCCTTATCATTATACTGTAGATCAAGGACGTTGAAGAAAGGTGGACATAATGTAATTTACAAATGTATTGAAGCACCATAATGTCAGTGGGTTTTTTAAGGGTTACCACGTTGCGTTACCAGAATTATGAAAATAGATATCGTCCTTCGTGTCAATGTGTTTATGTTCTGCGTCTAAGGGCCAATTTTTCAATAAATTTTAATTGAGGAATAACGTTCTACATTTGACAATTCCTCCATACTAAAAACTGTCGACGGTAAATTTTATTGTACAGTTAAAAATTAACTGATGATTGAAAAATCGGCCCTAAGTCTGCACTTACTACAGACTGCAGTTGTAGCCAAATGCCATTTAGCGCTTGTCTACATGTAGAATAGAAAACTAAATTATATGGGATTGACGTCAATTTTGACAGTTGTCAGTGTCATCCCATACATTTAGTTTTCTACTCTCTCTGTAGACAAGCGCTAAAGTGGCGTTTGGAGAAAGGCGCTGATGCCAAAGCCGTTGTTTCAAGAGACTGTGTCCGCCTTTTTTACAACGTCCTTGCTGTAGATAATATCCTTTTACATTAAAAAAAAGAATGGTATCAAAATCACACACTATTCTTAATTTTGTTTTTCAATATTCATAAGACGACTGCTGTAAATTGCTTAGCAAAAATATCTATTGGCACTTTGAATACTTAGGTACACCATACATACATATGTAAGTTCATAATTCTATAGTTTATTGGCTTTATTATCTAAAACATTAAACTCATGATTAAAAGTTGTATTGTCTTTGTGTATTATTTGCACGATATAAAATTTGTGTGCATTAGAAATCCCCATACTTCCTTAATTACAGAAAGCGATGAGTACGAATTGGTTTTACGTTTACCGAGATCGAAACAAGACCGCGTCCGGCGCTCTGATTGGCCGGCTCCAATGAACCAACAAATTAGAGCGCCTAACTCGGTTTTCTATCAATTACTTTAAATGTAAAACAAACTCGTACTAAGGCGTCAGAAAATTATAAAGAAAGTAACTTAATACTGCTAATCCTAATTTTATAACATCACATTACTAAACGAACAATTTCTTATTACGTAATATCTCCACTCTACAGTATTCCTCGAAAGCATAGGCAGACAAAATACATTCAATTAATACCATCATGATCATCATCATCACGACTTTTATACCCGAATTTATTTTACGGCACTGCCGCTACACAATGTAAAACCTACTTTTTACTATTGATGTTATAAGTCCCATGTAATAGGGGTAAGCCTATTGCCAGATACCTGGCACAATTCTAGACTTGGTGCTACTACTGAGATTTTTTAGAAACCCAGCACTAATTGGCGTGACCTGGGAATCAAAGACCTCTTGTCCGGCAGTCGCACTTGCGACTACTCGGCCAAGAAGACAGGCAATTAATACTAGTTCTCCAAAATAAAATAAAAATAAAAAGCAAAAATAATTTTAAACAGCAATACCAGCCACTATTTCAGTGTAACTAACTGTAATTATACTTTCATTTTTATTATATGTTTTTTTAATGGGACAAGCTCGCCACAACCTCCTAAAACCGCTGCAACTCCTGTAAGCCACGATCTACATTAGATAGGTACAACCATGAAAACACCGGAACACTGAAGTACGGCGCATCCCAGGGACATGAATTGGTTCCCGCAACGAAGTGAATCAGAAGATATTATAAGAGGAGAAGAAAAAAAACGATAGTTTCCACTTCCTTCGGTAAATACTAGTAATTACAGGAATTAAGCCTAAAGACACAAAAGAGAGACTGTACAACTGGGTGAAGCCCAGTCGCCAAGCACCACGGAAATTTGACTAAAAACTGAGTGGGTCTTATGTGTGAGCTGTTATACTTGCTTCCAATAATAATTTTATTATACCTATAAAAACTTAAATTTGTTTATTTGAACGCGCTTATCTCAGGAACTACTGGACCGATTTGAACAATTATTTTTGTGTTGGATAGCCCATTTGTCGAGGAAGGCTATGGGTTTTAAAACATTACGCTACGGTCAATAAGAGCCGAGCAGAGCAAATAAACTGCGCGGGAGAAGCTAGTTCTTTTTAGTATATAGGTTTATAATAACAAGGATATAAGTAAGTACTCATTTACACGTTTAAGTATCAAAAATAAATTGTGCGTTACTCCAAAGTCTATTTTTACGTTGAATATATTGGACTTAAAATAATATAAATGTAATATACAACTTAAATTATTTATTTATATCTACTTATAAATATTACGTTTTTCGGCTTACACACTTTATTAATTGACGAGGAACTCGACTGGTTTCAAGCCATGCTAGAGGCTCATATTCACGAGCAGCATTCCGCGACCCGCGATGCGACGTCTGTCGCGTTGCTACAGTCGTGGGCAGAAGTTAGTCGAGTCTCTCTCGTAATCGAGATTAAGCCGAAAAGCATGGTAATTAATTTAATATTGTCGGAATACTGAAACGCTAATCAATTTTAAGTCGTGGCTTAAGTATACTTCTATCTCTACAAATTCTATGTAAAATGACGGAGATGGCACGATATTTGAGCACGACTTAAAATTGAGTAACGTTTCAGTATTCCGGCATATGTCTCAAGAAATTTATAATACTTATAAGTATTTATATTAACCCGTCGTGTGCCTCAACATGGGTCCACACGACCCACAGTGTATTTTCTATTGTGTCTTACATACTGGCATTCAAGCAGTTAAAGACAACGGCGTAACAATCTTGCTTAAAAATTAAATTAAGTACTAAGTTTAAATACCTAGTAAAAAATAAGTTTTGTAGAAAAAAGATCTATATATATTGCAATGCTGCAATTAATTCGAGCATATTTTTATCATGTGTAATTCAATAACGACCTTAACCCTCTATTTAGTAGATACAGATTTGATTTATTAAAAAAATATAGTGTATTCAAAATTGTAAGCAGGGTTTGAAAATATGATTTCATTAGACAAGTAGGTACCTATCGTTTGAAACTTAATGTAATTAATATCTGAAGAAGCTTTGAGAAAAGAATGTACAGAATTATTTGAGAATTGTATATTTCTTTTATTTTGTAAAAGTCTGATTCTAAATTAACTAAAATCGCAGGTTACTCACGTGAATACACTGAGAAAAGCTCTAGTAGTTTCGAACCACAGAGAGGTTCTTCCTCATAAGTAGCGTGCGACCTCGCACGCTGCTGGCTAATTTAGTAAGTATGTCTCACGATAGTTATTATAAAAACAAATCTGATTCTATTGAATATTACATATTTTTCACTTAAAAACTAAAATACTGCTACATTTTATTTTTAAGTACAAATTTATTTTTTATTCCATTCCAACTTACAACTGTAATAATGTTATTTTTTTTTGTGTAATGTATGTATCAAATCCATTTTAATTACAAGAACACAAAAACAGCCACGAATAGATCTGTTTACATTATAATTAATAAACGTTATTAAAAAAACTATATTAGTAACATAAAGATATAGGTACGCTTAATTTAAATAAATAATAATTAATATAAAAAAATATTGGCACCATAAATAGACAGTTTATAAAAAATAATATTCAAATTATTGTTGCAAAATTGCGTAGAATTTTGCCATGCCAGCTAGGATACAACTTTCATTTTATTGCTTTACATACCACCATACTTATGTTCCAATTTCTATATATATTTTTTTTCTTTTATAAGCCGTTTATATAGTTTTATTTTATGTAATGACATTTTTGTTTATTGGTCGCAAACAGCGCATACTTTATTAAAATACGTAACAAGTCTCTTGGTCCCAATGTAACACAAGTCACAAACACATTACACTTTTTCATGTTCCACACTACAATACCATTTCCAACATTTAATTAAAGGAATGGTTATAATTAAAAGCTAAACAAATAAAATTTTTCCCTGATTTTGTATTCTTTTTTCATTTATAAGGCATTTGTATTAAAAAATCTAATAATGCCCATAAATTTCCGATTTATCTTAAACATTTTTTGAAAAAACATTTTTTTCCAAATTGCAATACTTTTTTTTAAATCACTGCGTGACTAGACAATTTAAATCTTTGTCACAATGAATAAAAATACCTAGAAATTATTATTATGTCCGCTCGTCTCACCTGCTTGGCTCGCCATTTATTTCAATCTGTAAAATAATACGCAAAACAATCAACAAAAAATCAATAGATAATTGTATATAAAGAAAAAGCTCAAAGAACAAAAATTCCTATAAGGACATACCCAATTTACTCGCTAAGGGAATAATGCCTACGTATCGCCTTTACATGCCAATTAATTTTCCTTATGTATCTGAAATGTTGATTTAAATTAAATTTATAACATTTTACTATTAACACCGGTTCACCAAAAAAATAACTGACAGAAAACGGAAAGCAAATGTTCGTATAGTCAAAACATTGCTACAATATTTTCCACAGGCGCCATTGCGTTCCCTTTATGAGATTAATAAAGTATCAGCGGTGTTCATTAATTTTGTGGTTTAATGATAATAGATTCATGTAATACTGATTTATAGATACATTTACTATATCGAGGGGTAACGGACTATTTGGTTTAAGCGACATTTTGGGCGATTTTGAGTTATAATATATTCGGAATCAGCGAATCTTTCTCCGTCGAATATATGTAATAACTCAAAATCGCCCAAAATGTCGCTTAAACCAAATAGTCCGTTACCCCTCGATATGAACCTTCACCAAGTGATTGGCATTAGAATAAAATGTCTTCCTTTAATAAAAAATATGATTCATGATGAAAATATGTATGTAAGGCGATACGATTCCCTTAGCTGATATGGTATTTATGACAATAAATATAAATAAAAGGTAGGTAATAAAACAGAGTTAAAAGACAATAAATCTATCATATTATATCAATTAACCAATACATAAATACGTAATATAATATCAGATAGTAATATTCATCCACATAATGTAATCGTATACGAATGATCAATAAAGGCATCGTGATATATGGAATAAAATACTTATTGATACAAAGATGTTATAGACGTATTTTCATTATAAATGTCGCTGTAAAAATACTACAGATATTTGAACCAATGACATTTGAAATAAATAAAACCAACAATTAGATACTAGAAGCACGACAAACTTTACCATAATAGGTACCAGTTTCCATTATATCAACAACAAAAAAAATATCAGTTTTACCCACGGTTCCACTCGCATGATATATACGTGGAACCGTCTCACAGATTTTATATCTATGATGTTATCTCCGAAAAAAATCCATTAAAATACAACAACCACAATAAAATATTTTGCCTATAATAAAACATTGATTCTGATCATAAGCATAACATACATGACACTAAAACTTCAGAAGCAAATTATAAAAGAATATGTTACCTTATCAATAGTAGCAAGGATAAGTGGTGCAGCATGAGCAGGTGCGGTTTGTCGATCTACAATCGCCCTTCTTGTATCACCAGCACGTTCAATAGCTTCTTGTGGCAAGAAGCGCCACATACCCGGCGTGAATAACTCGGCATCCATCTTTAAACTCTCCTTCTTGTCGAATAACCAGCCCACGATCATGCCGACTGTGAGAGTAGCCAGTAACCCAAGAGGTGCTATCCAGTGGTATGATATTCTGAATAGCGGGAACACGGATTCTGGGTCCTGTTAACAATTTATTTTTAGGTTTAGAATGATTTTGTAATATAAGGAAGTTAAAGGATTTGTTTTCGTAGCTAAAAGGCTTTATTAAGGTGATTGTTGTTCCATTCACAAATACGATATTCAATCGATTTCAGCAATATTTTTTTAGGGTTAAAAATTATTAAATTACTTCTTCCACCCTGGGTAAGGCGAGACGGGTCACGGGGTGTTTTGACACTTTTACTGCCTACACTACCCCGTGACAAATTTCAGCAAAGCTTATAATTGAAATATTGAATAATAACACATGGAGAAGTACTATTTAACGACCCTTTATATAATTACAGTTGAATTTTAATCAGTCTTATCAACATAACAAAATTGTGTTAATAAATTGTATGATATAATAGCTATATCAAGGAAAACTACTACAACACAATTTTTCCTTCCTAGGCGCAATTGAAAAACCTTGGCATCAATCAAGGATGCTAAAATCTAATAATTTTGTGTCACGAATATTTGGACTTAAAAATGTAACTCATCTATCACGTTTTTGACACAATCTCGAGATTTGAATGACTTATTAAGTAACATCATTTTTAAAAAGATTTTACTAGTCTGTTTTTATCATTTTATCTATGAAAGTCTAGATCAAAGATGCCGATTTTTTCTTATACTGATATTTTATTTATGTATCTGTTTCAATGAAATATGAAGTACAAAAATAATCTATTGCTTTACGAGTATATTAGACATAAGTATCATAAAGTAATTAATAAATGAATACTTACGATAGCATCACTAAATGAATCCACATAGGAAGCGTTTCGGGCACAATCCGAAGTTATATTCAGCGGTGGGGCTCTCAAACCGTTAGCTGCAGCAGCTTGGGTCCCAAGCGATACTGTACCAGCTAGTAGGGCGCCGGCCAGGGCCCCTGAGAGCGCCCCTCGGGGGCCCACCCACCAGCACACCATGCCCAGAGTGAAAACTCCACACGTCGCACTCGCTGCAATGGCTGATAAAGCTGTTGCTACACCTGATGGTATAAATATATAAAAATTAGTCATTATCCAACATTTATATTGATACAGTTGGACGAATAAAATGTAAATTAACGAAAAGTAAAATACTTTTTTTACATAAGGTTTGGTAGTAAATGTAAACGTCTTGAACGTCACGGATAACAAAGATACCATTATAGCAAGATTATTTTCTTTACAATCGCAATATCTATCATTAGGTAAACAATTATTTTTTGGACTGAATTTGATAAAGTCTTACCAAGAACGCCTCCAAGTTTCTCAATAACGAACAGCATCACGACAGATATAACAGCCAAGCTGGCGGTGATAGCCCTGGCCAGCATACCCTCAGTGAACGGCTTCAGTTGAAGCTTCAGCCAGCCGTGGATGATGTCCTCGATCACGACCAATGCACATGCATTCAATACTGCAGAAAGGGAACTAAACAAAGAAAAAATATACTTCAAATTCAATCACCCCCGGTTTCTGAATTACTTATTCCTGTTACATTTCAAGTTACAGAAAATGTTCAAGAAATAACAAGTTATTCAGAAATCAGGGGTACTTAATTATAATAAGTCCTTAATCTATCACTTGTTTGAAGATTACTGAACAAATACCTACAGACAATTACAATACCGTACATAAAAAATTGCTAAATAATATATTTCCATTGCACTTACCTAAGTCCAGCTCCAAAGACTCCAGCCAAGAATACCCCAGACAATCCAGGCAAGTGCTTAGCTCTGGACACGTACGTCACGAAGGCTGGTAGAAGTCTATCATCGACCAGGGGCACACCGCCAGGATCGCAACCTCCTTGCACCCAGGTAGCCCAGGCCGCAAGACCACACCATACACAGAGGGAGATCGCCAGGATTGCACCCAAGCAAAAGATGAATATGGCCCTGGAAAATTGTGTTTTGGTAAAGTTATATAGTCCCACGAATTTAAGATATACACCGCGGTGATACCAGTGTAGATTTCATTTGACACAACCATTATTCTTCTAGCTGATGTCATAAGATCAGGTTATGGGGTTCTTATATAAATAGGCGTGTGATGTTTTACAGTATTAGGTACTTCTTATACTTATAGCGACATTCCAACCTAACATGATTACCTACCGAACTGAACAATATGTGGAAATAAAGATCAACGTGAAGCGATATGATTTAACGATCAAATGAAGCAGTACCTACATAATAGGTCGTTAAACATTTCCGTGCAAAATTGGATTGAATTTTGATTATTGTTATTTGTGAACATTTCTTAGTACTAGACGGTAGTTTCAATTGATGAATTATGGGGTATTAACAGTTTTTTACTCCTAGTTGACTTAAACTGAAACATACGTTCTTCTATCTTTAATCTTATATTTTTTACAAATTAATAGACCTGACGCCACGCGCACCATAAGCACTGATGGCAGAGACATATGAACTATAGTAGGGGAGCCCACGATGCTAAATTGGGATTTACTTGAGCGTCCTTGGGACCTACTGGATTTTGAAGATATGCTGATAGAAAGAAGAAATGGTTTAGTGACAATTTCTTCCACCAGTGGGGGAAGGGGGAATCTACAGATCTTTGAAATTGTTAAGCGTAACTTTTGTTCTAATGGTCGAGCGTGTCAGATATTGATAATGTACATGCTCCATGTGCATTTAATAATAAAAAACTCTTAATCTGCCAGTTTGCATGGTGGGGTTGAATGTTCTGGAGAGTACAAACGAGAACCCTTCAAAATCCCCCCACTCTTGCAAATCAAGTTGGAATGGGCAGATTTTTTAAACGCACTTCCTTTAGCACGGTATTGACCTACCTTCCCTTAATCTGACGAAACTGACTTTATTTAGTCAGACTTTTTTTTAATTTTCAGTCCCCCCCTTCTAATCAGATCGGATATATGTTGGGTATATTCAACATGACACTAGGTTTTCCCCATATGTTAATCTGACGCGCTCGAGTAACTACCGAAATCCCTTCATGGGCTCCCCTACTACTACTAGGAACCGTTTTTGAATGAATGACGCCTAAATATCTGCGCTCACGGCGGTCAGCGCTGACCACCAAGTTCATATAACTCGGCTATCAGCGCTGAAGGTACGCGTGCCGGCGGCGTGAGACTAAAATCAGCCTTAACTGTGATGTAATATGACTAACAATATTCCTTAAGTAAGACTAAAAAACAATGTTCCACAAAATATTGTTACACCGCACGTCAGCGCGCCATAAATAGATGGGCATTGAAATCCTTGACATTCACAACAACTCACTATAAAAATGTGGAAAGTTTCTGATAACAATTTTATGGAAAATCAGCTGATTTTAGCGTGATTTTGTTTACTTATAAGTTAATAATTACTGGCTGTTAAGGTAATAAGTTTAGGGGGCATTCATGGTCTATAAGACTCCAAACAACTTTCAAGGTATACATATTCAATGAATACGAACGAAACCTATGTACCATATGCTTGTATAGTGTTGTCCTCTGTAATATTGTGTGCTGTATGGTGTACATACAAGTGATAAATAAATAAATAATACATAAAAATACAAAGGTAAACCGAAGCTCAAAATTAGTTTCTAATGAAGTAACTATTGAGGGGATTTCAAATAAAAATCTTATTTCAATAGAACATTTTGACTGCCTGCCTCGTTGTTCAAGTGATCGCAAGTGCAACTGCCGGGCAAGGGGTCTCGGGTTCGATTCCCGGGTCGGGCAAAGTATTAATAGGTTTTTAAAAAAATCTCAGTAGTAGCACGGAGTCTGAAATTGTGCCCGGTATATGGCAATAGGTTCACCCCTATTACATGGGACTCATAACATAAATAGTGAAAAGTTGGTGTTAAATTGTACAGCGGCATAATGTGCGCCTCTGCCGACCCCTTCGGGGATAAACGGCGTGATGTTATGTATGTTGTATTTATATCAAAAACGAGATGTGTATTATAAGAAATCACACACATAAGTAGGTCCACCTATTCATCTTCAATATTTGCATGTAGGATGAACGATACGCTTCTCTTATCAAATAATTTACGTTGATAACTACTTACTTAGTTAATCTAGTAATCAATGTTTGTGGCACTATTCTAAACTGAGCTAACATTTGCATTGTCTAGAGGACACGAAACATACCCTACCACAATCAATTACTTGTTGTTATTTTAAAAACATTGCGTTATGGTTATAAAACTCATCAAGTAAATGGACATATTATACTTTTCAAAGCCATTGATTTTTCTAGTCATATTATCAAAGATAGCAGAATCTTTACTATGCTTTAAGGAAGGTTTGGATAGGTACCTCTACATTAGGATCAAAAAATAGATGAATGAAAGAAGAAGAACGACGCGAAGACCTTTTTGCTTAAGAAATCGCGTTACTAGAAATAATTCAATAATACTAATGATTCAACAATCTTGAACAAAACACAATTAGAGATAAATTATAATAGGTGGATATTACTAAGGCAACAAGAAAATACTAGATAGGTACTAAAATCATACATGAAAATCTTCTAGCCAAGAAATATAATACCTTGCAGAATATTTTAACCGTTTTTATCTTCTTCCTAAAAGAGAATTCATTATTAAATCAAAATAAAATTACGCCATTAAACGTGGAAAAAATAACAACGCAACATAGGTTTTCATTCTATACTTGTGTACCTATATTATTATCTCTTAGTTTAGTCCCTATTATATGGGATTCATAATATAACTAGTGAGAAGATGAGAATATTCTAAATCCATAATATTTTTTATAAACCCTTTTCTAAGAAAAATAACCTTTCTTTATATTTATGCATACTTTAGTCAGACATACTAAATTAATTATTATGTTTTCGGCTGACTGACGTAGCTATTTGACGAGGAAGTCGACTAGTTTCAAGCCATGCTAGAGGCCCATATCATTCCGCAACCCTCGGCTTGAAACTAGTCGAGTTCATCGTTAAACAGTTACATGCTGGGCCGAAATAATAATTACCATTTCTCCATGTCACCTGACTTTTATGTGGCTTACCTATCTGTCCTCCCGAGTCCACGTTTAAGATAAGACATTCACTCAGAGTTTAGTTCAATATATCATTACTCCTTCTAAATCATTAAGGCGGACAGCCCATATGCGGGCAATGGACTGTCGCCTTGATAAATATATGCACGTCTGCACCTATGGTTGCCAACCATACTTTATAATAACGTATTCTACTTTATTTTTGATAATCATACTTTATACTTTTACATACAAATAAGTAGGTAAAAATAAACTTCAAACCTTAATTATAATGCGTGGAATAACTCGGTACTAACTATTTAACGCTGTTTATAAGTTAAAAAGATTGTAGTAAACGATTTACAATTGCTGAACATAATGTTAGTGACCAGTCAGTCAATAATTCATCACAGATTACACTATCGACGAAATTCTGAGAAAATTTCCGACGTTTTTGTATAGTTAATTAACGAAACTAGGTACTCCAAAGTAAAAATTAATGCTTAAAATGACTAATAACTCGGAAATTGAAAAAAAAATGAAACACATGTTTTTTCATGTAATTTTTCCTTTTCAAATAAAATTTATACGCTGTTTTCGTCAAAGAAAGTTGGCAACCCTATCTGAACCTAACCCACCAAAAGAACAACATGCTGCATGCATGATATTACGATATTTTATATACATTTTAAAGAATTTCATGGTAAGAAGATATAGCTAAATAAGTACTTTTTTTTTAAGGGGGGAAAATCATCGAATGACTGCTCCCGCCTGGGTGAGGCGGGAGGGAGTGTCGGACTTTTACTGACTAAAAACCACCCCGTTCCTTCTCCTGCACGTCGAGCCGGAGCCCCGGTTACCCGTTAGGTTCTCCGCGACAGCTAAATAAGTACTTACGTGATAGCTTTCCTCTTAGTTGGCAATGAGATGTATCGTTGTACCATGGTCTGGTTGACAGAATTGAAGCAGGTCCAGTACAGGAATCCTCCGACTACAGCTCCCCAACCGGTCTGGCGCTCGTATGGAGAGAAACTCCAGCTGAGGGCAAAGGATAATTATTCATATTATATTCACTTAAAAAACCGTATAACTAGTGGATAATAATATATATACCTATATATAAAAATTGAACCCGTTTCCCATTGTTACGCCATAACTTGAGAACGGCTAGAACGATTTGGCTGAGTTTTTTGTTATGTTTGTTATCGTCAGGAGAAGGTTCTTATGACAGAAAAAAGTCCTGAAAATCCTACGGGAATGGGAGATACGGGATTGCGCGTACGAAGTCGCGGCCAGAAGCTAGTAGGTACATAATTAGGTATAGATTGTTAAGCTCATATCCTCAAGTTTTTCGTAAAATCCACTCTATGCAAAAAATTATCGGTAAATTCAGTTCTTTTCTTATAATTATCTTCTTATTTTCTTTGAATTAAAGCATGGTTTCTACCTCATCATCAGGAACGTGGAATCATCATTGTAGGAAAATTACTCTTACGTTTTCTAAGCGTATTCACATTATACTAAAAAATCCTTTAACTGGTATTAGATAAAATGATTTTGAAAAGTTTAAAAAATTCTTGACTGCCTCGTTGGCCAAGTGGTTGCAAATGCGCTTGCCGGGCAAGGGGGCCCGGGTTCAATTGCCGGGTCGGCCAATTAGTATTAACGGGTTTTAAAAAAAATCGCAGTAGTCGCGCGGAGTCTGGAAATGTGCCTTGTGGACTAATAACATTAATAGTGAGAGTGAGTGTGACACTGCACAGTGGCATTAAATGCCGTAAATGCCGTAATGTGCACCTCTGCCTACCCCTTCAGGGATAAAGGCGTGATATTATGTTATGTGTAAAAAAATACTTCACCAAAAATAGTCTAGTAAATATTTATACATATGTGGGACTTAAGCTAATAACTTTGTCCCTTTCGGCACTCAATTATTGCAATTAGTCACATCACTAAATGGATTCAATATTTTCTCTCATTTTGGGCAAGTTTCCAAAAATACATTAAAAGACGTCAGTACCTGTTATGTAATACTTGATTATAATATTAATATCTTGTAAAACTACTAATGCTTGTAGAATTTAAGCGAATTTAAGTTTATGTACATTCACTATACTGGCTGGTATGTTAGCCTAATGGTCGCAAGTGAAACTGCCGGGCAAGAGATCGTATATTCGATCCCCGGGTCGGGCAAAGTGCTACGGGGATTTAAAAGAAAATCCCAGTAGTAGCACAGAGTCCGCAAATGTGCTCGATGGCAATAGGCTCACCGTCTATTACATGGGACTCGTAACATAAGCGCGAATAGTGGGTGTTACATACATTGTACAATAGTGACATTACGTGTACCATAAAATGCACCTCTGTCTACCCTTTCTGGGATGATGTTCTGTTATTATTTTATTACATCTTTCAGTCTGCCTATAGGTAAGTTTGTCTTCCGCGATCAGTCGGTGCGCTACATTTGCTGTGACGTAAGTAAATATTACAACTATGTATAAAATAGACTCTAGATATTGCATAATGATTCTCAATTTTAGCTCAAATATTTATACGGTGATTTGACAGAAACCGAGTGATTACACCCAGAAACTTTAGCGTAATTTATTTCGACTGAGAGCCTAGCAAGATGTAGCTATTCGCTTTTCTCTTAATATATTATGTCTCATTGTAATGTAGGCAAGCGATGAGATTACTACCTAATTCAATTTTAGACTTAATACCATTATTTTAAAGCACATTTTTCACTTAAATATAAAATCTTTGATAACTTAAAACAATCTCGATATTCTCGCCATGTGGCTGCAGTTGACCATATCAAAGGTTATCTATCACAGCCAAGTTCATTGCCACTGCTTAAAGCCACGTGTTCAGGTTAAAGATTACTACTTACTTGCATAAGGAAATTAGTTTTACTTTTTCGCATGTAAATACAAACATTGATTAAGTATACGGTTGCACCAATACATGTTTAGTTACTAGGTGTATAAGGATTAATTTAGCATGTAGTGGAAATGAGATACTTATGTGTTACGTACCTATGTGATTTATTTAGATAGCAGGTAATGTTTATTTGTCTATTTACGTAGTAATAAGTGGTTTTATTAAGAGCTGACTAGCATAAAAAAGCTAGACAATTATAGGTGTTTCCAAATTACACAAGATTAATCTAAACAATCTATCTATCTAGGCACATAAATTCAGTCTGACTATCACAATAATAGCACTAAAATTGCTGCAGTGACCAATAGACTTCATAATGCGATAGAACTGGATAGAACTCACAAGTAACACTAGTATTATTTCTATATGACACGCATAATCTTACGTCATCAGTTTCCATGGCAACACAACCTGGCACCCACACAAAGATACATGCACAGATAACACAAAACATTCAAATAATTTTGACAGTTCGGCAACTTTTTCAGATACGTTTTGTGACTGACATGTGGAAATCGGTGCTTAAGATAGGCATACTTTTACTTTTATCGATATATGTATAGTTTATAGTATTAATGTATATCTTATCTATAACTCCCACGTCGACTATGATGTGACTAATCATAGAACTCGAGTACTCATTGACGTATTTGTATTTTGTAGTTGTGAGCCGGAACTAATAGGTGCTCTTATACATATGCACGTGTACCTTTATGTACTTCGCTTCCGTAAAACTATAAATTATGTGGTAAATGCTATAATAGGTATTGATAAATCGTAAATGCAATAACCTCATTTGTAGTTGCGGTTGGCACACTTATTTCAAGGTCTCGCTGAGTATGTATCTCGCTGTCATCAGAATTTCGTAAATTCGATCTTACCCTGCAAGACTGAAAATCTTATTTTATTTGTAAAAATATTTGTTACTAGGCTGACATTTTATTAATTTTCTTAACTCTTTAACTTTAACTCCTTTAGATAAAAGATGTCATTATCGCCACATTTAAGCACGATACAAAACTTTATTTTTTAATGTGTTGATATATCGTACCGAAAATCCTCAAAATTTATCCATACAAAAGTGGTCTCTAAAAATGGGAAATAAGGTCACCGGTAACCGCTTGGGGATTGAACAGTTAAGAAATTTACAATTTCCCGGGAATATTTTTACCAGTTTTCAGTCATTACTCACGGACATCAAAATAATTATAGATATATAAAACACTTTTATGAATTAAATGCTGAATACACTATTGTATTAATATTCAACCTACTTGGATAGTTCAAATCGTCCGGTTTCGTTGACGATGTCGATGACCTCCCAGACGCCGCCGACGGCGATCGTCCCGGCGGCCGCTACTAGGATGACACCTATGAACATCACTCCCGTCTGAACTGAATCCGTCCACACCACAGCTTTCAATCCACCCTGGATAGGAAAACAGTAATTATTAATGTATTTACCATATAGTTAATTAATTAACATAATCCTACTTCCTACTAATCCTACTAATATTATAACTGCGAAATTTTATGATGTATGTGTGTCTGTGTGTTTGTTACTCAACCGCATCAAAACGACTGAACAGATCGAGATGAAATTTAGAATAAGGATAGATTACAGTCTGGAATAACACGGGGCCTGCTGGCAATAGCTAGTTATTTAAATGAGTTAAATTACAAGACAACATTGAAAAACATTTTTAACCGCATGTGCAGACTATGGGAGACTTTGTTCGTTTGTGATTTTTTATAGCGTTACATTTAGGACGTTACAACGCGAGTCAAGTTTCATCATCATCATCATCATCAACAGCCAGAAGACGTCCACTGCTGGACAAAGGCCTCCCCCTTAGTCCTCCACGTCGAACGACAACTCGCCACCTGCATCCACTATCACCCCGCAACTCTGGCGATGCCGTCGGTCCACCTAGCGGGAGGCCTGCCCACGCTGCGTCTTCTGGTCCGTGGTCTCCACACAAGGTTCAAGTTTATAGCGACTCAAAACACACGTAACCATCTCAAATAGCGAATTAATTTCAATGATAGCATTTATTTAGAAATTCATACAGCAAATCAGAAGTACAGTTAGTCCACGTTATCTGCAATACCAAGTTAGAAAAAATACTACTGTTTGTCACGTGTTCTAACACGTTGTATACTAGTAGTCAGCCATGCGAGATGACATAATTGATTCATTACACGCTGTTCATTCTTATGATTGTATGAGTATGAATAACTGTAAGACACGCATACTTCAATATACCATATCATAACATTACGCCTTTTATCCCTGAAGGGGTAGGCAGAGATGCATGTTGCGGCACTTAGTGCCACTGTACAATATAACACCTATTTTTCACTATTTACCTATACATGTTATGAGTCCCATGTAATACGGGGTGAGCCTATTGCCATGTACCGGGCACAATTCCAATTAAATTATAGGTTTAAAATCCAGTAAGTAGCGATATACAGTTTTTTAATTATAACTCTTTTTCAATGTCCGCAAATATTGCAGTTTCTAAGGCAATGGTGTTAGTAATTAGGGGATGACATAAAGAACAGACATGTGCACGTTTCAGGGATTTAAACATGTTTGTTTGGTTCCAAATAGAATTTTGAGAATAACACCTCAGAAATTCTTGCTTACATATAAAAAATACACGCACAATAAACGAGTACTAAAACTAGATACCAACATGCAATTTTAATCTACTTAAAAACAAGGTAATAAATTAAAAAAACTACTCACTAATACTGTATACAGGCCACATATGGTGACCATAGTACCAGCTACAGCAAATACACTGAAACCCGTCACTGAAAGTAAAATTAAATATATACACATAAAGTAAAAACTAACAAATAAAACAATATGTGTATTAAAACAAAAAAAAAATATTCTGCAATCACAAAAAAAAAATATAAAAAAGTTTAAAAAAAAAATTATGACTAAATAATAAGGTAATAAAAAATACATCTAACAAACTGCTAAATAAAAAAATAATAATTAAGTTTTAAAGAAAATATGTCTTTTATTTTGTAATAAATAATACTGCTTATTATAATATCATTTAATGTACTCACGTTGATTAAACGCTAATGCAGGAACGTACACAACCATTGGCAGGAATAGTACCTAGAACAAAATACAACAATAAATTTACAAAAGCTAATTTATTTGTAACGATATATACATTCAGTCAAAAAAGTATCGGGAATGGATGATTTGTTTATGGTTCCAAATTCAATTTTTTTTTTTGTAGATGTTAGATTGGCACAACTGTTTTCCATTTTGGCGCGGAGTTTGATTTGCATCTGTTATTTATATTAAATACAGTGCTGGTTTTAGTAATATCATAATAATATATGTATAGTACAATACATTTGCCTCCAACCGTACCTCTTTTAAGTCTGTCTTTTCTGTGTGTTGACTAATCAATGGCTATGCCACGGAATATAGATTCTATATTCCGTGGGCTATGCAGTTGCAGACTATACCTTGAAGAACTTTTTTGTATATCATGAACTATCCCGTGACCATTATTCGGAGACTCCTCACCCTGTCCAACTTACGGTTGTCTATTAGCGGTAAGGTAGTCAAAATTCAATCCTGCTACGAAGAACTTAAATGTCAAACTTCAATAACACTACCTCATCAAGAATCTAAACTTCGCACACTAATTAATATACTCGTACCTACTTAAATGGTCTAAAATAACTCTTATTGGTTCAAAGATAAATATTTCCGCATTCAGGTCTAATAAGTACTTACATGTACCGTCGTAGATTAATTCATCATATTGTTTGTGCCAATATAATTGCTGGTTTGTTGTTAAACCATCAAATCGCGGTACAAAGGTCGGCTGTGTAATTACAGTCGCGTACGTAAGAACTTGTAATTATTTCCTTTGCCATACATACATATATTAGTGTTGAGAAAAAATCATACGCAGTTTAGTATTCGTTGATTAAAACACGATTCTTTTTCTTGTAAATATTTACCATAAATACCTATATCCTGATAGTAACACATTAACTTATTATGTTATTTTCAAGTAAGTACTTATGTTGGCTATTACCATATACAGGGTACAATTCCAGACTCCGTGCTACTACTGAGAATTTTTAAAAACCCAGTAATACCCTTTGCCCGACCCGGGAATCGAACCCGAGACCCCTTGCCCGGCAGTAGCACTTGCGACCACTCGGCCAACGAGGCAGACTAAAAATAATTAAATTTATTTTCACTTTCTGAGAGTTCATTGCACCAAACTTATATTTTTGGTAAACAGATTAAGACCAAATTGAAATGCGACCAATTACCTACTTTATTTCATATACGTCTCCAAGTACATTCTACTAAATCTATACGTACTTGCAGACTAATTCTAGACAGACTATAAAGACACAGTCCAGAAACATTAAGACATAATCCGTCGGCAACTGTTGCCATATTTTTAAACATTTATAAACGCATTCATTACATATGTATGTGTGTTTGTATGATGTACTCGAATCCCAAGTGGTCAATTGACCATTGTAATCTTTGTACATTGTTTATGACATGTAGCAAATTGTGTCGGTCAAAGTCCGAAACGATGAAATAACCTTGTCGCAAATTGTTTTGAAATAGATTAAAAAGTAGGTTTAAAAGTAGACTGTGACATTGGTTCTGTAGTTGCAAGTTTTACTAGAAAGTACGGGGCCTTAGAGTTTTCCAAAATTATTAGTTGATAGTATAATATTATGTAGCATGTAAGCTGAAATGTCATCTTCACCGTCATCACGAACAGCCTAGATTAGTTCCAACTATTGAGCGAATGCCTCTTCTCACACAGGGAAGGTTTTTTTTTAATGGGGGAAATCATCGAATTGCTTCTCCCGCCTGGTTGAGGCGTTAGGGAGTGTCAGACTCTTACTGACTAAAAACCGCCCTGTTCCTTCTCCTGTACGTCGAGCCGGAGCACCGGTAACCGGAAGGTTTGAGTATAAATTCTCGGGTTTGCGAATATCACTGTATGGCAAAAGAATCACTCTTCCGCCTAAATAGGCAGTATGCACCTGTACCAACCTTTCCAGAGAATAAAAATACGAGATAATATTATATGTTATATTTAAAAACTATTATAATAATATGGTAGGCGAATAAAATTCTCCGTCGTATTTACAACGTTCGCTTTCTACACGTGTGTGACGTCACGACTGTCACGAGTCGCTTTTGAGTTATGACTATCTGTACTGACGTGTCGCCGCCGCCGTCGCTAACATAACACATATAACAGGTGTTATTTATCAATGAAAATCTTGTATATTAACTTATTAGGCAACAGAAAGGGAAATATAAATAAATACCTTCATAATCGCCCCTCAGGCTTTAATTCGGATTTTCCAAAAATTCACACTAATAGCACGAAGCCTACAATTATGCCCTGTGTATGGCATTTTTTTTATTTTTAAGGGGGGAAAATCATCGAATGACTGCTCCGGCCTGGGTGAGACGGAAGGGAGTGTCAGACTCTTACTGACTAAAAACCACCCCGTTCCTTCTCCTGCACGTCGAGCCGGAGCCCCGGTTACCCGTTAGGTTCTCCGCGACTCCGAACTGTGTATGGCATTGGGGTCACCCATGCGAGTATGCCATATCGAGTGAAAAATGGACGTTGCATCTTAATCTGTGCATATCTGCCTATCCCATTGAAGACGAAAAACGTGAAAAGACGTATGTATAAAAACCCTTTAATACTACCTAGATCAAGAAGTGTTTCTTGATCTAGATAATATTAATCTACGGAGATTAATGAATGTTAAAATGTTGCTTCCAAATAGTTTGAGTACATAATCATTCAATTAGTTATGCCCAAAATAAATTAATTCTCAATGCACTGTTGGCAGATGTCCACCGAATAAGTCCACTTCAATTTCATTCATTTTGTATTTAACCCTTAGACTGCCATGTCAGTCACCGGTGCCTGACGCTAGTGGAGGTTTGACTTTCATCGTTTTAAAGTTGGCAGTTAAAGTATTAAAGAATACTTTGTAAATATTTTCTTTCCGAAATTCTAAGTACAGGTAAACATTTATCCGGCCATTATTATACGAATCTTATAACAATGAACATAGACCTATCTGTCGTGTCATAATATAGAATTAAAAATAAATTTATTTTAAAATTTTGTAAATATCAAAACAGCAGTCACTAACGCCACCTACATTAAACAAAATTTAAATAAATATCTACAAATTAGATCACAATCTCATTTTACAACATTCCACCACAAAAATAGACCTATTGTCTGTCGAATACTACCATAGACCCCTTGGTATAAATTAACATATTATAAACATAATAGGTTAGGTATATTTAAAATTTTCCATAGAGGCAGTGAATGTAGCTGGCAGGCGCAGTTCCGTCGGTACGACACGACAATTGATGTTGATTCTGTTCGTTCGAACCGACACCGGTCAAAGTCCGAAGTGTCAGCAATGCGAACGACCTTAAACACACTCACTAATAAGAAATGCTGATTCTAAACAAACACCATTACTGTTTCTCTATGTAGGAAAATACTACGAATTTGTTTGTCGCTATGGTAGATAGGTCCAATTACCCCCCTCCGCAACCTTCCCAATCCCTAAATCCCCAACAATCCTCAAATTCCTAACCCCCAATGGGCCAATAACGCACTTGTAACCTCTCTGATGTTTTGGGCGACGCTGATTGCTTACCATCAGATCCATCTACTCGTTTACCGGCTTATCCCATAAAAATAGAAATCTATAAGTTTACCTATATTTTCATTTTCATAAAGTTTCTATTTAGATATCATTTTCAACAACAGCAGGTGACAATCCAATACTGTACTATCGGCCTCTTCGACATAAGACGATTCGCCATATATGATCTACATGCATTGGAGTCCCTTAGTCGGTACTTCATGACACCCGTAGCTAGGTTAGAGATGACAACAAAACGTATTCTACCTTGCCGTTGGTAGGTGTAAGTTTTAAATATTGAGATATGGTTGGGAATTTGAGGATTGTGGAGTATTCGAGGATTTGGGAGACGGGGACTAAGGACGGGGACTAGGGTAATTGGGCCTACGGTAACGTCACTCACACGACGAAACACAACGCAAGCGTTGTTTCACGTCGGTCTTCTGTGAGGCCGTGGTATAACTCCGATCGAGCCGGCCCATTCGTGCCGAAGCATGGCTCTCCCACACTTTGGAATGAAAGTCACGATTTGATGTTGTTTAATCAACATTTATAGGTCTCGGTCTGTATCTTAGTGTGAGCATAGCGTCGCAGCATCTTGCACTAGTTTGGCACAATCAGATTTGTAGTTGGAAATTGCCAACGTTAAAGAATGCAATGTATGAGCGTTTGTCAAGTCAATCGGCTGGACCAATCGCTCGGTTGGCCACCCCTACTGTGAAAGGAAAAGTCCTTAGTAATGATTTTTTATCGAAAACAATTGCTAAGGACTGGATTATTATGGAACCATTAAATAACTCTTCGTACAGCGATTAATTATCTCATACGATTTTCAAAATATTCGTTAATCTCTAATCGATTTCAATATTCGATTCTCATCAAAATTCACTTAGGCAGTTAGACGTTGTAAATGATTCACCTCATAGGTTTGTTTTACATTTCGTCTACTGTGTTTGATACCTATTTATGTTAACTTTAAATAGTAATTAACTATTGTGAGGTTAATAAAAAGCACATTAAAGTAATGTACCTACTTATTACTATCATCATAACATCACGCCTTTTACCCCCGAAGGGGTAGGCAGAGGTGCACACTGCACATTACGACATTTAATCCCACTGTACAATACAACACCCACTTTTCGCTATTTATGTTATGAGTCTCATGTAATAGGGGGTAAGCCTATTGCCATAAACCGGGCACATTTCCTGATACCGTGCTACTACTGAGCTTTTTAAAAAACCTAGTAATACTTAGCACGACCCAGGAATCGAACCCAATACACCTTGCCCTGCAGTTGCACTTTCTACCACTCGGCCAATGAGGCAGTCTATTACTATATAAATAGATATGGTGTTCATTAGGTCAAATGGTAATAAAATAATATAGTTATACTTGCTAACAAATTGAAAATGTGTTAGGGTGTCTACATATGGCGAATGTGCCGCTCGTCAGCCGTTTGCGGGCCGCCCGCGAGCTGCGCGCGTACAGTCACGGCAATGGTTTGGTGCTTAACTCATAATTCCTCATTCATGAGGTTCGTATCTTATACTAGAGGTATTATATAAAGCGAAAGAGTTTGTTTTGTTTGTTTGTTTAAACGCGCTAATCTCCGTAACTACAAGTCTGATTTTAATAATTATTTTTGTGTTGGATAGCGCATTTATCGAGGATGGCTATAGGCTATTAAACATCACGCTACGACCAATAGGAGCTGAGCAAAGCGTGTGAAACCGCGCGGAAGTAGCTAGTAAATAATAATTTTAAATGCACGCGCGCAGCTCGCAGGCGTCTCGGGGAGCATTCGCCAGATGTGGACACACCCTTATGAAAATAATGCAAATACTTAGTTCAATAATGAAAATTATTAACATATTTATATTACAATGTTAATTTCGTCGTTCTTCGTGGGCAATGAAATTTATAAATTATGACTACTTAGTGGATCATTTATGTTACAATATCAACTGAAAACTGAATGTCCCCAACCTGGCAATCGGATCTAGGCCGTTGCCCTCGACGTGACCACTGAGCTTCAAGCTACAATATAACTATTTACCTATTCTGTAACAACTTCTTTTCCACTATGATGTTGTAACGATTAATTTTATATATAAGAGTTACTGTAAAAATTATGGTTAATAAACATTATTACTTTTTATTACTATAATCTGAATGAAACAAATAACCAAAGTCAATCCAAAATCTCTTAATCAATCTAAGTTTCTGTTGTATTCTATTTCTGTATTATTAATACTTTACCCCACACTAGGATTTTCTCCTGTGTCGTGGTGCGGTTACAAACATACAAGTTCACATACACATGACACCCAGACCTGGAACAACAATCTGTGGATCACGCAAAGATTTGTTGCGTGTGAGAATCGAACCCACGGCACGTGCCGTGGGCCACGGCACGTTGCGTAGCAGCCAGTTGCCCAGCCATCGCGCCAACCGTGCAGTCATAAATATTATTGGTTAAGTAATATTCTGGTAGAAATACTATAGACCTAATATCAAAAATGGCTATAATTCGAAGATTTTAAATTGATATCGGTTTTTAATATCAAACGTAAAAATCAAACATGATTTCTGTGAGTTATTTACAACTAAATACGCATTGCATTTATGAAGGCCCTCAGGTAACCATGCAATACTAACTAAATCGCATCGCAAATCAATGATAAACGAATATTCATTGTTTGCAATTACCTCTACAATAGCACTTATTATACTTTTTACCAAGTTTCCTGGAAAAGGTGACATCAATACCTTGTTAATGACGTCATCAAAGTGTTTCTTAGGTAAATACTAATAGACTTTAAGTATCGAGTTATTCAGAACTTGTTGGTTCTATTTTTTCGAGTGGTCAAGTCAAGTGGCTTCATTACCATTTGTTCAATACACTTAGTATTAGATATGTATATTGGGAACTCTGCCTAATCCTTCGGGGATTAAAAATAAGCACCTATAGTAAAGATAGCACAATTTTTTAGGGGATGGGGTATGTAAATGAGCAGGTCGATCGCCAACAACAACGACCAACGCCGCCCATAAACAAACGTACATATCACTTCACTACATAGTACAAAACAAAGTCGCAATCTGCAGTCTGTCTGTCCCTATGTATGCTTAGATCTATAAAACTACGCATCGAATTTTGATGCGGTTTTTTAGATAGATAGAGAGAATAGATAGAGTGATTCTGAAGGAAGGTTTATATGTATAATACATGAATATTGAACCCGTGCGAAGCCGGGGCTGGTCGCTAGTACATACTAAATCTCCAAATTTTCTTTGAGTCATTCGAATCGCAACTATTTATCTATTTATCTTGCCTTTAGATTACCTTAATAATCTTAAAGTCGGTGTGTCATGTTTTATCGTTCACTATCCCATAGTATATAGACAAGAATCTTCTCTTATAGTGTGAGTAATACTGGGTTTCATCTGTATGTGAAATTGTATGTTTGTAAACGCTGGGTGCGTGCTCCCCACACAGGAGTAAATCCACCCGTATCCCCAAGCGGTCACCGGTGCCCGCTCTCCACTAACTACATTATAGACCTTATTTCCCATATTTAGAGACTACTTTTGTATGAACAAATTTAGGGGATCATTTTCAACAATTTCCAACGGGTTAGTGTGGGGATACAAAAATACAATACCATATGCCTCAATCAGGAATCTAATCACTATCTTTGTAGTTACAGTAGTCTACATATGATGACGTGATTATACATGATATAGTAAGTATCAATTAATAGATGGCGTGTCTAAAGGTACACAATAATTTGTATGTACCAACATACATGTAAAGGAATGTATGAATGTTGAACTCACCTCGTCGAGTAGGAACAATACCGAGGCAGCTGCCCGAACATTCTTGTTAAACCTTAACTCTAGGTACTGAAACAAACAAATAACATTTTACTAAATTATGACAACACGTAACAATTTCTTACATAAATCTTAATGAATACTAGCTAAATATTAAAACTTTAGTGAGACATACTAAATTATTTATTATGTTTTCGGCTGACTCACTTCATTGTTTCACGAGGAACTCGACTAGTTTCAAGCTATGCTGGAGGCTCATATTCATGAGCAGCATTTAAAGGCGACGCGGCGACTGTCGCGAAACTAGTTGAGTTCCTCATCAAACAGTTACGTGAGTAAACCGAAAGCATAATAACTAGCTATAGCTAAATAATTACTTAAATTTAAATAATAACTATTGTGAGGAATGTTAGATTAATAATGCCAATGCTGATTACTTAGATATAAAGGGAATGTGGGCGTCGGTCAGGCTCGAAAGTATTCGAATACCCGCGTACCTAATACCTCATCATAACATCACGCCTTTTTATCCCCGAAGAGACAGGGAGAAGTGCACACTACAGCACTTAATGCCAATGTACAATGTAACACTCACTTTTCACTATTTATGTTATGAGTTCCATATAATAGGGGGTAAGCCGATTACCATACATCGGGCACAATTCCAGACTCCGTGCAACTGAGACCCCTTGCCCAGCAGTCGCACTTGCAACCACTAGGGCAACGAGGCAATCCTAATACCACACTGTCTAATTTGTTAATCAAATTAAAACCTAAACAATGCAGTAGAAAATGTTGCATATCGATTCTAATTTACTAAATAGTTACTCCAATTTAGTAGTAGTAGTTTTATAATTAAAGTTTATATTTTTATGCATGAAAGATAAATATTGACCGTACTATTGTTATTACTTATAAAAAACTAATAAGTATCTAAATCCTATAACATAATGTAATGAGCGTGTAACACGTGGAGCACGAATCCAAATTATATAGACCATAACAGTAAATAACTTAAAAACCAATAATATTATAAAAAAAACAGAGACTTCAAACTCATAATCACTTAACCAAAGATACAGACGATTTTATAATTCAATAAAACTATACCAATACTAATTTAACATACATACGTCGTGCAAACGTACTCAATACAATCATCGTGCAAATCTACGCATGCGTTTTTTTCTTCACGGGGCAAAGTCCACTTCAAAGCGGTTGTCAATTCGTGATCGATTACCTAATGGCGATAAGATCTACCGACATGGAGATAATTTATAGAATTTCAATGAGATGATTATTGAACGTTTATTATATTACATTGGATACAATCTTAGGCCATTGAAGTTAATGATATAAATGATTTATGGACTTATCATTTAGTTCAAGACAGTACACTCACTTCTTAAACAGAAGAACGTCTTAGAAATGTTTCTGATTATATTTAGCTCTGTATGGAAAGGTGAACGTGCAGTATTTAAGATTTGTTATCTGAATGTACGGTTATCTGTAGTATGTTTGATCTCTTTTATCCGGAACCCGGAATAGATAGCAGTAATATTTATACTACCTACTCAATACAGGTGCATGGATGACATTGAAATAATAGAGATGATGACAGGGTACGAAAATTAAAAATCTCTAATTCTGTCAGTTAGGTAAAGAAAAAATATTAGACACGTATTTTTTTATTCTGTCGTATAAGAAAACAGTACTTAGATAAACTGAATCAAAGTTTCGGAGTGGGGGTAGCAACGTCATTTTAGAGTATAAATCGTTCTCAAAAGTGCCGTCATGAAATATTTCAAATCAATATATCTTCGAAACTAATCGTTTCTGTAAGAAAATAAAAATACGTGTCTAATGTTTTTAAATAATCTACCAGACGGACATTAAAATTAAAAATTTAGTCATCTACCCTATTGGAAAAGAAAGAATGTACAATAACATACGTTTAACGATACTTCTGCTTCATCTTCAAATATATGGGTGACCATCATACCTTTTGACTGCCATATTGCATACAGTACACCATAGCTGGTCATGTCAGAGTGACAGAATATTTAAAACTTAAATAATAAACATTACAAAGTAATACTTTCGACTTCACATGAATACAGAAGCTGGTACTAAGAGCACATTCACAAGGATATACATAAACATAACATAACATCACGCCTTTTATCCCCGAAGGTATAGGCAGAGGTGCACATTACGGCATTTAATGCCACTATACAATGTAACACCCACTTTTCACTATTTATGTTATGAGACCCATGTAATAGGGCTGAGCTTATTGCCATTTACCGGGCACATTTCTTGACTCCATGCTACTACTGAGAATTTTAAAAACCCAGTAATATTTTGCCCGACTCGGGAATCGAGCCCGAGCCACTTGCCCGGAAATCGCACATGCGACCAGTCGGCAACGAGGCAGCCAAGGATAAACACAAGAGCAAAATTATATACAAGTTGATTAAAATTATATCATTCAGGGAGTCCCTAAAAGTATGAATCATAGACCGATTGATAGATCAATACTATTATTTGTTTATCTATGATTATGATACTTAACTTACCTCATACGAAGAAGATAACCTAAGTGTGCAGAACACAGGTAAGTATATGGTAGCTACTGCTACACAGCTGAGGGACACTCCGATCACCACCAGCCAGTACTGAGTGCCATAGTTGTATATCTCAGCCGGAGTCCCCAATATGGTCACTCCAGAGACGTAGCTGAAACAAACATAATAATGAACACCTGATAATGAGTTGATACCAAAAATGTTAACGTCTTATAAAAAGTAGACAACGGCATATACTATACTAACTTCTGCCCGCAATTTTGTCCACATTCCCATGGGATAAAAGAACCCTATGTGTTATTACTTATAAGAGGCCGTAGTAATATACCTAAGATCCTGATCCCTTCAGCCGTTAATAACATAAGCAAAGCAAGCGACATTATTTTCCAAAGATTTCCTCTCGTTCAAACAATTGGGTACCTGCCGACTAATCAAATTCAATACTTTTTTAGAACTGTCAAAAACGACAGTTTTCTATGAATTTTGTACCTACGAGATTGTGTATTATGACGTCACGTTTTTTAAGCATCAAACAGCATACTTATTTCTTACAAATTTGCTGGAAAAATAGTAAAATTAAGTTGATCATAAAATCAATTAATAGAACTGTGTTTATTTTTTAATATTTTATTGTACTGAACAGTCGAAATAATTTATTTTTGATTAAGGCAAGTACCCAATTCACATGCAAATAAGTCGGACTTATCAACTAAAGACCATGGAATAATAAAACTGTTTGTTTATAATCCCATGATAAAAACTCAGTTAAATATAGGCCAAGTGCTATAACAGTTACACCTAACTATTCAGTAGCTATATTTGAGTAAACAATCATCAAAATTACTTATGTATCACTATACTATACAAGTAGGTCACGAAAAATTAATTGCATTAAGGAATTAGTGTCATGGTATGGTGGCATCACTTGATAGTAGAAAAACAGCTGGCAATGTTTACTGTCTCAAGGCCACACAAATAATATTTTGAAATAATTTCAGTGGCAATGACATTTCATAAGTAAGCATGAGATAATTGAATCCACATACATGAACAGTTCGGTACAATAATCAACCGAGCCTGATTGTACCGCTCCTCTACAAAGGAGGTTTTTTTTAAGGGGGGAAAATCATCAAATTACTTCTCCCGAGTTCTCCCGCCTGGGAGAGGCGGGGCGTCAGACTCTTACTGACTAAAAACCGTTCCTTCTCCTGTGCTTCGAACCGGAGCCCCGGTAACCCGTTAGGTTCTCCGCGACTCAAAGGGTGGGTTTGCAGATGCAATGATATTCAGGCTTGGCAGATATGTTGGAGATTGCGGTTCAAAAGATTTTGATTTATCAAATAGCGATTGTGCCCGGTTTGTATTTAATGTCTCTCGTGTGTATTGTTGAAACTCATACAAGGTGACTTGTAAGTCGACGTATTCCTCTCGGGAGCTGATAATACTACTAATTTTCTACAATATTCCCCTGAGGTCCTTTTGTAGTTAATCAGTTGTATAGAGAAGATGTTAAACATTTTTTATTTGGGTCAAAAATACCGAACTAACTACAAAAATATCAAGAAATAAAAAACTGCTGGTTTGATTTAAGTGACTTAAGTTTTAATTTGTTGTCGATACATCATTATTCATTTGGTCCAACAAACTTTTGTAGAATATTAGTTGTATTATCACCTCCCTAGAGGAATACGTCGAGTTACAAGTCACCCTGTATAAATTAAAATCACTAGACACTATAAGGTCAGTAAGGCAACCTATAGGTACTTGGTTTAACCTAGGCCAAACCAGTTTGCTCTCGACAGTATAATTACCTCTAGTATGTAGCTAACGATACACTCATAATATTTAAACTAATACAAGTCCAATTTCCTCTACTAGAACAGTGACATATTATATAAATTTAACACTGTATTACTTAGAGATCGACTTGAAGATATAGGCCCGTCTATGGGCAGGATTATAGTGCACAATTAATCAATGCTTCCTATAATAATACTATTGTAAACTAGCTGTTGCCTGCAATTTTGTCCGCGTAGAATATGATTCGTGTTTTATACCATGGGAGTATTTAATCGGGATAAAAAGTATCCTATCACCTAAGTCAGCCCATACCCTGCCTGTATACCAAATCAAAATCCGTTCAGTTAAAACGTGATTGGGGGACAAACTTCCAAACAAAGAAACTTTCACATTTATAATAGACTAGCGACCCGCCCCGGCTTCGCACGGGTGCAATATGCATGTATTATACATACAAACCTTCCTTAAGAATCACTCTATCTATTAAAAAAAACCGCATCAAAATCCGTTGCGTAGTTTTAAAGATCTAAGCATACATACGGACATACAGCGAAAGCGACTTTGTTTTATACTATGTATTGATATTAGTTTGATGCCAAAGAGTGACGTGGTGGCCCGGAGGTTTAAGACGCTGGCTTCTCATACATGAGAATGCGGGTTCGAAACCTACCAACGGCAAATAACATTGTGATTTTTTCGGAGTTATATGTACTTTCTAAGATTATTTAGACACCACTGACAAACGGTGAAGGAAAACATCGTGAGGAAACCTGGACTTATAATTTCTAATTATAAGTTTGGAACTAATTGCCAACCCGCATTGAGAAAGCGTGGTGATTAATGCTCAAACCTTCTCCGTGTGAGAAGAGGCTTTGCTCAGCCGTGGGTATTTATAGGCTGTTGATTACAATGACAAAGAGTGGTTGTTTGTTTATCGTTCGGAAAATGAAGAGTGATATTATGGGCTATTTTTTTCAGACTGCGGATAGCATTAACTCGTCGAGTACCGGTTTTGTAGACACAATTCACACAATGATAGAACAATAGGTTGCGGTCACCGGTGACCGCTTAGTGTTTGACAGTTTAAGCCCTATTTAACAGCTAGTTAAATAAATATGAGTAAACCATGACACGTTATCTCACCTGGCAATCAGCGACATGGCAACTGGAAACGTGGACAGTGCTCGTCCACCAAGAAGGTAGTCTTTAACGTCTACCACCTTCTTAGCTTTGGAGCCAATGGCACTGTACCACAAGCCACCAGCACATGACACGGCGCATAGCACACCGAAGACGACGTAATCACCCACCCCGAAACCCCCTTCTTTCATTGTAAACGGCATCTTGATATTTAAACCTGTGAACAAAAGACATGTATTTCAGTTGGTTAAAACGTGGTTTCCAGTTGCAAATCTCCTATTTATCTTTATGTAAAATTGAAAAGAAAGTTTAATGTAGGTCCCGATCTGATTACTAATTTATCAAATGGCGAAATATTTTTGCAAATCGTTCTATCAATTTTGAAGTTCAATGCAAATAAACAAGCAATTAATTCTTTTCTTTATTAAATATTCGTATAGATTACAGTAGATATTTAAATTGACTGCACGGTTGGTGCGGTGACTGGGCAACCGGCTGCCGTGCATCGTGTCGCGGGTTCGATTCCCGCACGGAACAACACTTTGTGTGATCCACAAATTGTTGTTTCGGGTCTGGGTGTCATTGTGTATGTGAACTTGTATGTTTGTAAACGCACCCACGACACAGGAGAAAATCCTAGTGTGGGGCAACGTTTTTTTAAAAAAAAAAAAATATATATAATTAGATTAATTGTTATTTTCATTAATAAAATAAGTAAAGGCGTTAGAGTTCAATTTTAGTTTTTTCTGCTTAATTTACGAAACATCAGATAGATGGCGTATCGTATTGTATTATAATATTGACGTCACTAACTTGTATCCCCCGTACGTAACAAAATGTCTCATTAATTTCGATTTTGATATTAGTGTTGAATTTGGCTGATCCCTTCTACTCAAGTATTAAATACTACATCTAACGTCATTCAAAACTGCACCTAAGTAGGTAGGTAAAATGACTCTGCTGTTTTTATATGTAAGGTAATTGTTGTTTTTTATTGCAGTCTTGCGCGTTTTTAAATAAACTAGGAGCTAAATAAAGATTATAATTTTTGTACAGAAGTTATATTTAAGTATTGAGTTTACCACAGTATCTAAATATAGGTACCTACTTAAAAAGTAAATACGATACTAATTATTATTGAGATGGAATTTATCCCGTATCAGAAATTCGTATTTTTGTCAACAACATATTGAAACAACGCTATGGCTGCAAAATGTGCAGACAGAGGCCAGAATTTTATTTTAAAAATGTTTTTGTTTTCTTATAGCGAACAATTTCGCATCGTCCGCTCCAACCTTGAGGACTCGTTTTAAAACGATGAACTTTACCATTTCAAGATTTTATTAATACACTTTTGTCATCGGTGAATTGAGATCACAGTCAAGATCGAATTACATAGTTATTTAATCCTATAAAAATATATAATGTAACTCGATTACAAAGCCCGATGTTGGCGTACTTAACAAATCGTATATTGTGTAGTGATGCTTTAATTAATAATTAAACGACACTAACAAAATCCACGACATTAAATCGTGGATTTTGTTGATCCATGACAATAATCTGATGAAGATGATGGAGAAACGTTGCATAAATAATCACAAATTATTATTAAACGAAAATAGTATGTACAACGAATTCTTAGCCATGGTAAGGATAAAGGAATAAAACTGATATTCAACTAATTGCCTGATATCAATGTCAATTCTTTTTAGGCAAAGGCATCTTGAAGACTATCATAATAGAGAATAGAACAACTCATAACATAACATCACGCCTTTTATCCCCGAAGGGGTAGGCAGAGGCGTACATCACGCCACTGTACAATGTAACATCCACTTTTCACTATTTATGTTATTAGTCCCATGTAATAGG